CTTAATTTATAATTTTAAAATATAATTTATACTTAAAAGTTTTTAGGAGTGAATCTATTCTCATTACTTACTTGAGAGATAAATTTGAGGATTTTTTTTTTTTTTTTTTTATCAAGGCCAATTATGAACAGCCATTAAAATCAATTATAATTAGACCCAACTTAAAAGTAAATTGTTTCTCTCAAGTTTTATATTTTTAAAATTTCTATAATTTTTTTTTTCCTCACTTAGGTTCATTAACTTATCCCACAAGGCTTTTTTTTATTCATTTTAGTGACATAAAAAATACAACTAAGAAAAAATGGTTGATCAGAAAAGCAAATTAGGAAAAAATATTTACCTACACTAAAAGTAAAATCTATACTTATGTGAACTAAAACTTTACCATATTTGCAAATGGACCTACCCCAGATTGGAAAAATACACCCCCATTAACTTATATAATTAAATTATTAATTATAATTTAACTTTAATTAAACTTGTACTAAACAAAAAAAAAAAGGTAATCTTTTGATGGCTCAAAACCAAAACCCAAATCTAATAACAAATCCGAAACCTAAATCTAATTGACGTTCTTTCTTCTTCGAAAGTTTTTCTTAGACACTAGCCATTCACCTCGCAACAAAACTAAACTAAAACCTTAAAAATTCATATTACTTCAACCTAGTTTAGTGTTCACAAAATAAACAGCCTAATCAAAACATATAAACAAAATTCTCCAGCATTCAGAATACTAAATTTCCATTCCACAACTTCAATATTTGCTAGCTGTTGTAAAAAAATATCTATAAATATGGGTTTGAAAACCCAGGAATTCTCTCCACCAAAAAAAAGAAAAAACCCAGATATTTGGATTCCTTGAACCTATGTTGTTGGGTTCCACTGAACCCAAATTGCTGGGTTCCCTCAAACTAAATCTGGGTTCAAACAAAACCAGGTAGCTAGGGTTTTAGAGTGTGGTAGAAATCGTGGGTGCATGATCAACCCTTCGACAAAGGCTATGGGGGATTCATCGGTTGTTTTCTATCCTTCCCGTGTTGTTTCCAGTGGAGGTTTGATATCCGGCACAGAAGGTGAGCAAATAGAGGGGTTTCTTTGGCAACTAGGTCTTAGGGTTGCCCTCGTGAGAATCCACCTTTTCACGTGTCTGCGCAAGGTGCCTTCTTGGTGGTTTGCTGGGTAGAGGAGTGAGGGGTTGATGGCAGCGGCTTGTGACAAGGAGTTCGAGTGGTGTCTGACACTAAACTGGATGCAGGTTGGGTATGTAGAAACTTTGTTGGTTTGGGGTTGCTTGTTTCACAGAGCTAGGAAGGTTGGGGTGGTGGTAATTGGTTTTTTGGTCGGGATTAATTGGAATCCTATGTGAAGCTCTGTGTGAATACAGATCTAGTTTCGAAGTGCGTCTAGAATTTGAGGCTCAATTGGAGGTGGTATCTAAGAAATTCATGGCACATTTTTCTTTGTAAAGGACCATGCAGTTGGCTCTTTGTAGAATATGAAGGTGACGAAAACTAAAAGATGTTTTTGTAAGTATTTAAGGTTCGTATCGTACCCAAACAGAGGATTGATTTAGTATGTTTGTTCATATTGTTCTTTGGAATGGAAATAGTTACCACAATGTGGGAGGATGGGGGATAGGTTCTAATCCCTATTATGCTAATACAATATCGAGTATGCTATAATAGTGTAATTAACCCCTAAGAGGCAAAAGTAATAGTTAGAAATTATATAAGATTTTTTATTTTTTTGTTAATTTTCTTTCTAGTAGATTAGTGTTTAGACAACTTTGTACCTAAGTTGAAATAATAGTTGTAACAGATGTGAACATGTAGGTGCTAGATTGCCTCTTTGAAGGTAAAGATTATCTTATAATAGCTTTACCTCTTTATTAATACAAGGTCTATGGCCATTTTCTTCTAAAAAAAATAGATTTACATTCAATTTTGGTTATTACCTATTATATCCTTTAAAAAATTACATAAAAAAATTATTAGATAGATAATTAAAATTAAAAAATAATGACAAAATTAAGGTAAAAAAAATACTCCCTTTATTTAGTAGGTTTAATTTTTGTATTCAATAAAAAATATAATAATTTATTAATAAAATTTCATATTTATTCTTAAGATTATTTAAATAAGATTTCTTATTTAATATATTATAATTATTTTTTTTAAAAATAAAAGTAAAATAAGAAAGAGCATTAAATAATTAACTTCTTAAAAATAGATGGCTGGGATAACTCTTATCCAACCTTCTAACCACAAATATGGGTTATATTATTAGGATTGGACAAACACTCCAAAAACGTGTCCTAAGGGAAAATTTTCATTTTCATTTGTTTTGGTTATGGTTGAGATTGGGACAAAAGGTCGAAAATCAGGGGAAGCAGCAGG